GATGACGTGGAGAGATGGAGCAGCTGGGAACTTTAGATCCAGAGAGGGAGAGGGGCTATGTGCTGATGACTGGGGGGCTGGCTTGCAGGGTATACGCTGTGGTTGATTGATGATTCATGGAGGGGATTGTGGCCATGGCAATGAAACGATATACAATGGAATGAATGTAAAACTAATGTTCTCCCATGTAAACTATCACACAATTCACAATAAAACATTAAAAAAAAAAAAAAGTAATCCTTCTGACAAAATGAAAAATGCTCACAGTATATCAAAACAGAGACATATATAGGATGAACACAGCAAAATGTGTATATATTTGTATAAATGTATCTGCATACATATTTAATACCTGGTTGTACATAGAAGGGGCTTCAAAAAGTTCAATTCCATTTTCCCCAAACTTCAATAACAGAATGGGAAGAATACAAGATAACTTAATGCTTGCTTATCTTTTAAATTAAACTGTATTTTCTAAATTATCTTTACAAAAAAAATCCGTGATCTTACCAGTTAGGCTTAAAAAAATAAAACAGAAGAATATATATATATATTTTTTTTAATTTAAACAAGAAGCTCTTTAATAAGGATTTTAAACATTGGGTTAACACTGTATTATTTTAACCTATTCCTTTTACTAACTACTTAAAAAGAGCTCCTGTAACTAACTTATAGTCTTAGAAATCACTGTATTAACCAGGTACGGCTATGGGAGCACGGAAACCAACCCATCCAAAAGCTCTTACTGCTGGCACCTCACAGTCTTATAATTGATAGGGTTCCTATTCTTTACATAAAAAATTTCCCTCCAATGATGAAATTAGATGTAATGTTATTTCTGGGGCCACACAAGTCTACATAATACCTAAGGCATGGTTGTGGAATACTCAACATCTGCCAACTTATAATGCTTCCAAGATGTGCAATAAAGTGCGATTTACAATGGTGTGGAATACTAGTTAATTTCTGCATTTAGCTCACACATGATGTTTCCACGATGAATACTCTAACGAATTTAAACTGGAAAAGAAACCCCTATTCACCTTGGAAACCCTATACAAAGTGGCTATGACTCGGAACCGACTCAACAGCACGTTTACTAATATAGCTCATTCCCACTACCTTTCCTTTCCAGATCTAAAAATATTGAAAGCAAACTTCTGAGTCACACTTAAAGAAAAAAGTAATCTATAACCTACTAATACACTGTTGCTGTCACTGCCCAGTCCTCTGAAATCCTCACAGTTATCGTTATACTGGAATTCACTGCTTCTGCCACTGTGCCAACCCATCTTGTTGAGGGTGTTACTCTTTTTCATCAATCCTCCACTTTACTAAGCATGATTTTTAAAAGAAGTATTTTTTATTAGTAGTATTTGTTGTTGTTGTTAAGTGCCGTTGAGTCAGTTCTGACTCAAAGCAACCCTGCATAGAGTTTCCGAGGAGCAGGTGGTGGGTTTTAACTGCTGACCTTGCGGTTCAAACCGAACTTGAGTCCAGTGCATTATCCTGCAGCACCAAATATTATTCCTACATATAACTAATAATACTTCTGATTACAAATAGATAAAAACGTCATCATTTTTAAACACAGACCCAGCTTCAGTCCCAGGCCAAATCCCAACCTAAACTCTATGCTTACCCTTAGATGTAGCCTCAGCCCTAAGCCATGGTCCAATCAAGCTGACAGATATTTAAGTAAAAAAATACAAATTCACTTTTAGTGAGTGGTGATGAAATGGGCATTGCTGTAATATCCCTAAGTACTAATAAAGTTGTTTTTTTAACATATTGCCTTTTGCCCATTTTGAATGTTCTTTTTTTGCACTGGTTTACATGAAAGTATAAGGAGCTCTGGTAGCATAGTGGTTACGAATCAGGCTGTGAACCTCAGCAGTTCGAAACTACCAACTGTTCCACAGGAGAAAAGATGAGGTTTTCTGCTCTCGTAAAGATTTACAGCCTCAGAAACTCTATACAGGGTTGCTATGAGTCGGAACCGACTCCACGGCAAATAACAATAACAATAGGTGCTCTGGTAGCATATGTGGTTACGAATTGGGCTGTTAAGCTCAAGGTCAGCAGTTTGAGACTACCAGCTGTTCCACGGGAGAAAGATGAGGCTTTCTGCTCCCGTAAAGATTTACAGCCTCAGAAACTCTAGATAGGGTCGCTATGAGTCGGAACCAACTCTATGGTACTTAACAACAACAACATAGGTGCTGTTGATTTTATCTAATGTTCTTACAAATGTGAACAGAGAATAAATAATACTTGGGGATTTCCTTTTTTTTATTTAATCCTTAATGTGCTAAGTATAGGCATATCTCAGAGATATTGAGGGTGGGGTTCTGGACTAATGCAATTAAATAAGTATCTCATTAAAGCTCAAGTCACATAAGTTTTTTTGTTTCCCAGGGCACATATTGGTATGTTTAGACTATACCGTAATCTATTAAGGTGCCCTAGTAGTGAGATGGGTTAAGTGCTGGGCTGCGAACCGAAAGGTTGGTGGTTCAAATCTAATAGCTGCTCTATGGGAAAAGGATGACACAGTTTGCTTCCAGTAAAATTTACAGCCTCAGAAACTCTTGAGAGCAGTTCCCACTCTCTGAGTCAAAATAGACCTGACGTAGTGGTTTTTGGTTTAATAGCCTATTAAGTGTGCAACAGCATTACAGACACATTTAAAATATTGTGAGAATTGTCCCAAAATGTGACACAGAAAAGAAGTGAAGACAAGCTGTTAGAAAAATGGCACAAAAAGACTTGCTCAAGGCAGTGTTGCCACACGCTTTCAATTTATAAAAAATGCAGATTCTGTGAAGCCCAATAAAGCGAAGCACAGTATAACGAGGTATGCCTATATTATATGTAATATTCACATACTATTAAATAGCACCAAAAGAAATACTAGCGACTTACCTTTCTGCTTTTAATACTCAAGTACTTTACGTTACCCCTTTAAATGACTGAATTAGCTATAGAATGATGTGCTCCATGCTACTGATTATAAACCATAAAAAATTA